AAATGTTGCAAGCTATTTACCTTAAACTTTATGATCCCAACAAGTAAAACGTTACGGAGATGGTTTTGAGTAAACGACTACGGCCATGCTGATGCACTACCTCCGACGCCTCCCACCAGAGACTCTGAGAAGTGAAGTAAGTTAACTAATGCTCGAATCTTTAGCTACTTCTTCTCGCTATTTGGTGCTGCTACCGCTGGACTACAGTGGAATTTTTTGGCTTACTGTGCCTAACGCTGTCCAAATGGCAAGGGTGTACTGTTTGAAGTACAATATTGTACTGTAAAGTTGTGGAACTATGACCAATAATTAGAGATGACCTATGTCAACCATGACAAGTAACAAAAAATACTAACATGAATGTAACAAGCTGAAAGTTGCACTTGCACTGATTTGATTCTATGGTTTGATTTTAAGGCTCAAGTTCAAAGATTCGAGCGGCGAGTTGTGGGTTCGATCCCAGCTTTATTTGAAAGTTCTGGTAAAAATCTGCGAAGCGGCTGTGCGTAGAAGCCCAGTAGATATTGGAGCAGTGAGTGCATGTTCGAGACCGCAACAAGCTGAGATAAATTCTGCAACGTTCAGAATCGGCGACAGGCCCAATGGCCTAATCTTCTACACTGACACAACTATCATCATTATTATTTTCGTGATTATAATAATTAGTATTATAATTATTATTATATTTATAATTAATATTACATTTACAATTATTATATTTGTAATTATTATTATTGTGACAAATAATTCGTAGAATTTGTTCCGAAGTTCATTGAACGTAACTCGGAGTGGTCGTCGTGTGTTCCCACCTGAGACAATGAAGAATAAATCAGGCGTTCCTTCAACTTAAATTGTAACGCCACACATTCAGAATGATCTCGCATCCATTTAAACTTTGTATGGAAGTGAAGGATAATCCTGAAGATCTAAATATCATCGATTACAGTAAAAATATTATAGAGCAGCAAAACTGTTTTGAATGTAGATATAAACTTGAATTAACGAGGGTCCTATTGAAATAAATCGCAATGCAGAAATTTTTCAGAAGTCATGAGTTACAAATAAAACGAAATTCGTTAGTAACTGGCCCCACAATTTTTCAAATAAACTTCATTCCAAAAAAGCTACCAGAAAACATGGTTTTTAGTGCTTAAAATTGCCAGTTAAAGTCCTCGTAGTTGTCCCAGTTTCCATTTTTCTATTCCAAGGCCGTATTTTGAAGAGTTTCTGTGCCATAAAAAAATTAATTAAGTGAAAAATCAAAAGGTCAAAATTGCTCGTACAAAATTGTAAATTCTTCCAACATTTTCCGCCACGTATATGAGATCCATGACAGACACTTCTTTTGACATGACAGACCATGACATTTTCTTGTCATGGTCATGACTGTCCATGACATTTTCAGTTGCGACCGCAGGGTCGCATCTGAATTGCGCATCACAGTTCCGGAGCCTTCCACACAAAGTTTGTCCGACTTTGTATGATCAATTAAAACTTTTTGAGACACAATAAACTGCAGAAGGCCTTTCATCATACCCCGCAGGTCCTCTGGAAATTATATGAATTTGTCCAACTTTGTATGATCAATTAAAACTTTATGAGACACAATAAACTGCAGAAGGCCTTTCATCATACCCCGCAGGTCCTCTGGAAATTATACGAATTCTGTAATTCCCCAAAGTTTAAAATTGCCTCGTCTTGAAACTACCAGGCGACTTTTGAAAGTCAGCGCAAATTTTCGTCCGATGATATTTGAAATATTTTGTATTATTTTGTCTATCTATTAAATCCAGTGTTTTTCAACATGCTGTTAATACTTATATTATGCTTACGAGTGGAAGAGACGTCGATGAGTTAAAATAAGAGTAAGTGAGTTAAAGAGTTAAAATAACTGCGACAAAATGAAACACATTTGCACGCAATATTCGATACACTCTGACTGATGATCAGAGTACCAATTTGATTCATGTTAAGCATTCTAAAAATTTTTGTGCTAACAAAAGTTTTGACGCTTATTTAGCAACGCTGTTTGGGTTCAAAAAGGATCAATTTATTACTTGGGGGAAATTTATATATATTGCACTAAAAAATACTTTAGTTAAATTCGAAAATACTTATTAATTTAGCCATTATTAATATAGATACATTATAAATTAAGGTATTTGTGTTTATTTCGCAATTTCCATAGATTTATCAAATAGTGCGGCATAAATCACACTACTTTTTTCAAAGACCTGAATGTAAGCAGTCTCTAAAGTACATAGTGAAATAATATCAAAATTGCAATAAAAATTCTCAAAAGAAATCTACCAATGAATGCCCGAAAACACTTTTTAAAAAATTCCCGAGCGACAACACCAGCATAAATGCAATAACGAATAAAAAAACAGCGTTAAAAAATCCCAGAATCAAGCCATAAAAAATCACCCGAGATATTAGGTAAAAAATCGCTGAAAACCCCTGCTAAAGAATCCCCGAAGCTCTGCTATAAATAATGCCAGAAGACATGTTGTAAAAAATCCTTAGCAGTTGCCACATTCTTTTACTTCCATTCGCGACGACTAAGTCCTGTCGTCATCGCATCGTAGGTCAATCGTTAAGTATCGGTTCACAATCTTTAGAATGAATCAACTTCAAAATCTCGTTTTTAAAATCGATAGATATGCACCAGCATACAGTAATTTCTACTAACTGAAACAAATCTGCACTGACCCACACCAATATACACTAACCTACACCAATCTTCACTAAGCCAGATCTATCTGCACTAACCCACACTAATCTACACTAAGCCAGACCACTCTGCACCAACCCACACTAATCTACACTACCCTACACCAATCTGCCGAAACACACGATAGTATATGCACTGTAGCCCACTCCAATCTATTTGATTCTCGGAAATGAATTCACTGCCCAGGATTAAATTGAAATTTAAAAATTTAAATTGAAATCCCAAGAAAGCAAAAAAAAACATTCCACGGGAAAAGTTCCCGGCTCATGGAAAAATTCCTCGGAAAGTTGCTTCATTAGTTAAAGAACCCAGTACGTTTTAATTTTTGGCATCAACTTTGAAGAAGGGATGGATGTTTAAGCTGCCCATTGAAAAGTATTTGGATAAAAAATTTTGAAAAATACCTGGATATTAAAGGTGTAAAACGAAGCTTTTTAATCCGTGGATGTGTTTTTGAAGGACTTGATTTATCTGGGATGAAGTTATAAAGGGAAAATGGTAACTGTATATCATAACTCATAATCATACTGTTTTACTGGTACTTGGGTTTATCAATATCGAATCATGCCCTAATATCAATCAATTGGGTATCGTGGCCTTGTATTTATATGGAATCATAACTTGGTATCTATACCGTATCCTAAACTGGTATCTATATCGTATCACTACCTATAATATGCATGTATATACATATATCATATCAGAGCCAAATATTTATATGGAATCATAACCTGGTATCTATATCTTATCACTTTCTGTTATGTCTATCGTATAATAGCATTATATCAATATGATATCACAACCTTGCATCTATATCGCATCGTTGTCTTTTATTTATATGGTATCATTACCTAATATTAACGTGTATATCTTTTTCTCATCCATTATCTATATCGTAGCGCGAGCTGGATAAGAAAAATAACCAACATAACGCAACTCTGACATTGAAAAAATAACGCTCAGAAATATAACGCGACTCTGACATTGAGTGCTAGTATCTAACGTACAGAAAAAGGTCAAATAAATTTTGTGAGACAATTTTGGCCCGGTTCGATAGTATTGTTGGCATATTCGTTGCCTAAATTTGAAATTTATCACAGTTTATTATACATGTATAGCTAATAACTTTTTCAGACTTATTTTTTCCTTTGTAATTAAATTTGCTTGATCGGGACCACAAAACAGCATCGCATCGCTGTGTGATTTAAATAAAGAACGTAAGATTGAGTTCTTTTATAATATTGAAACATTTAACATTTTTACCGACACTCGGAGAAGCTCCTGAGCGGGACGCTTCATTTAAAATGTATTGTCTGTGGCGACCAGAAGTCGACAATGTGAAGAAAAAACTTCAGACGACCTTTAATAATTAAAACAAAAGTTATTAAGTGAGGACGAAAGAAAGGAAATGAAGAAAAAATATCTTTTTTGATCAGGCAAAACTGTAAAGTGTTGCTCATTAAAATGCTATAATAAATGTAAGAAAATTAGTTTCTCATTCAAAAATGACTAATTCCAATCGAGAGAGAAGAACAACCGAACTGGCAGGAGCCAATCATTTGATGATGAGTTGCGGCTCTTGATTGTCTAGTGGTAATCTGGCAAGAATTATTTTCTATAGCTAGGCAAGACTTCGCTGGATGTATAGTGATGCATACTGTATACAATACTATACACATGCATACTGTACACAAAGTACACAATAAACCTGATAGCATATGTTACCCTATGTACGGTAAATAAGCATTACATTCAATGACTGTAAGACGAATGTACAAAAATTGCTTATAACAAACCCACTCATCAGAAGCACTGTAGATGGCTCTGGAGTTCATACACTGTAACGTAAGTAACAAACGAAAGCCTCAGATGCGCGATGAGTATTGATACTGCAATTCAATTACAATCAATCCTGCATAGTGTAATTGAATTGAACAATCCTGCAAATCAATAGCAGTGTAGATGGTGCCTCTTTAAGCCTCACGTACAGGTTAAAACCATCAGTGTGTCGAAATATCAACAAAGATATCGGCATGATATGCTGGACAGACTACAAAGATTTCATATGAAACAGTATTATTCATTAAAGCAGTATTATTGAAGCAGTATTATAATTCATTCAGCAGTAGCATATGAAGCAGTATTATTATTCATTCTTCATTAGCTGTATTTCCACATGAAGGAAAGCTTGTGAATGGAAGTATTCATCGCACTTGTCGGGTAGAGATTCGAAATCTGATCTTCGTATTTTTTATTCGCTGCAGAAATGGTGACTTTGTTGTTGCAGGGCGTGGGGAATACTCCTGGGGTGCAGGTGGGAAAAACCATGATGAAAAGAGAGGGGGAATATTCTAGGAAAGAAAGGAAAGGAGGCGGGGAAGGTTCTAGGAAAGAAAGGAAAGGAGGCGGGGAAGATTCTAGGAAAGAAAGGAAAGAAGGTGGGGAATATTCTAGGAAAGAAAGGAAAGGAGGCGGGGAAGGTTCTAGGAAAGAAAGGAAAGGAGGCGGGGAAGGTTCTAGGAAAGAAAGGAAAGAAGGTGGGGAATATTCTAGGAAAGAAAGGAAAGGAGGCGGGGAAGATTCTAGGAAAGAAAGGAAAGGAGGCGGGGAAGATTCTAGTAAAGAAAGGAAAGGAGGTGAGGAAGACTCTAGGAAAGAAATGAAAGGAAGGAAAGGAGGTGGGAAGACTCTAGGAAAGAAAGGAAAGGAGGTGGGGAAGACTCCAGGAAAGCAAGGAAAGGAAGGAAAGGAGGTGAGGAAGACTCTAGGAAAGCAAGGAAAGGAGGTGGGGAAGACTCTAGGAAAAAAAAGGAAAGGAGGTGGTATAGACGCAACTAAAGAAAGGAACAGAAGGAATGAAAGACTCGTGGGAAAGAGAGGAAGGGAGGAAGAAAAGACTCTCGGGAAAGAAAAGAAAGCGATGGGAAAGAATCATGGGAAAGAAAGAGAAGAAGGAAATAAAAAGTCATAGGGAATAATAGAATTGAGGTGGGAAATACTTATAGAAAAGAACGGAGAGAAGGAAGAAAAGTTTACGAGGAAAGAAAGAAAGAATGAATAAATAGGAAAGAACGGAGATAAGGAAGAAAAGTTTACCAGAAAAAAAAGGAAAGAAAGAATAAAATGGAATGAAGATTCCCAGGATTTTTGGCTGAGCGGCGCCCGCTGAAGGGTCGAGTGGAGGCTCTAGCTTGTCAAAAATTCGAGGCTGCTGAGGCGCTGCGACTTATCGGATTATCTGCAGAATTCTTGAAATTTTTTCTGAATATTTACAGAAATGCGAGAGATTTCTGGGATATTTATCATCGTTGAAAACAAGAGTAGTAGTTAACAAAGAGAAGAAGTTAGTATTCATGTACAGATTTATACCTCAAGACGGTGTATGATCAGAGACAAAATATAGACAGTTTTGGGCGGTCACTGCAGGAAATTGTTTTGGAAGATTCGCATTTTTGGATAATCTTATTATTCGAACGATGTTGAATTTGTGGATTAGGAACGAATTGTAAATGATAGCATCTCTCGCTATAGATACGAAAAATGTTTTATAATAAATCATTATCATCAGCATAGATGTACGTTTTAATTTATCCTCCCAGGTATAGGCATATTTACCAACTTGTATTTAAAACTTAAGTTTACTTTTACCTCTTAAGTTTACCCCTCTGCCTCAAATGTGTTGTTGCCCCAAAAGTGTACTATTAGCTTTCAAGTTTATGTTTACGTCTCAAGTTCACTTTTACCGTCTCTCAAGTGTGCTATTGACCCTCAAGTTAACTTTTACTTATTAATTCCAGTTTTACTCCTCTAGTTTAGTTTTCTTCTCCTTTACTTACACCTGTCAAGTTTTCTACTACTCCTCGGATTTACTTTAACCACTTAAATTTACTTCTGCCCGTCGTCTACTTTACCACTCAAATGCACTTTACCGCTCAAGTATACTTTACCACTCAAGTGTACTTTACCACTAAGTGCACTTTATCACTCAAGTTTACCTTACCATTCAAATTACTTTACCACTTAAGTTCACTTGACCACTCAAGTGCACTTTACCACTCAAGTTCACTTTACCACTCATTACCACTCAAGCTCACTTTACCACTCAAGTTCACTTTACCACTCAAGTTCACTTTACCACTCTAGTTCACTTTACCACTCAAGTTCACTTTACCACTCAAGTTCACTTTACCACTCAAGTTCACTTTACCACTCAAGTTCACTTTACCACTCAAGTTCACTTGACCACTCAAGTTCACTTTACCACTCAAGTTCACTTGACCACTCAAGTTCACTTTACCACTCAAGTTCACTTTACCACTCAAGTTCACGTTACCACTCAAGCTCACTTTACCACTCATATGCACTTTACCACTCAAGTGCACTTCTACTACACGTTTACTTTAACCTTTTTAATTTTAATTTAATTTTAGCGCGAGAAGTATCTTTTACCCACTTACTGTACAAGTACTGTTACCCCTCAGATTTACTGTTAACCCCAAGTTTGTTTTAACTTCTCTGTTAGGCCAACGACCGCTGTGGCGCTGTCGATTATGATAGAAATTTTTGGATTTGTTTTCAAAATGGATTTTATTATGTTAGAAATGGATTTGATTTTTCAAGGTCCTATGAGTAAAGGAAATGAAATATGCAAACGAAATTGCAATTACTTCCATTAACATCGTTCAATCAATAAATAATTGAAAAATTGTCAATATTTCCTACTCGAGAAGGGAGCAGTTGTGCGAATTATAATTAAAATAATTAATTAATAACAAAAACAATTAACAAGTCATATGTCGTGAAAAGATTGCATAATAAATTCTGACCTGCCAAATAATACAAGAAGGTAAGTTTTACTTATATAATTCTGTTTATTCCGACTATACTGTATAACCAACTGCCCGACTGCCGACTGTTTATTCCGACTGTTTATTCCGACTGCCTTTAAAAATTACTACCAGGGAGTATATTGCATTGCTGCTATTACGATTATTTACTGAATCCTGTGGGAATATAGCGTTTATAAACTACACTGAGTGAAAAATTAGCTGAAATTTTACGGAACCATAAATATTGTTTGTGGAATGATATTCCAATCGACAATTTATCCGAAATAGACAAATAGAATACCATTAATCAAAAACAGTAATTTTTAATGTATGCATATGCTTCTTAAGAAATGAGATGTGTTCCATTCTGTATACTTTTCAAATATTTGCCGGTCATTCTGTATATTTTTCACGTAAAATATCTGCCAGTCTTGCAGATATTCTGTTGTTGTCTGGCGGAAGTAATAATGCAATAATAATAATGGCCGTTCGTCATTTTTCATCATGATCAAATGAGCTTCTCACGTAATTAAATTGCTTCGGTAATTAGCAAAATAAATTAATAAAGTGCCTGAATTAGATTAAATTGGCCAGACAAGGCGTGAACTGGCGAGTGTTGTGAAGGGATAAAAACAAGCTGGGGTCAGCCAATCTCAGGGACTTTATTATTTATATAATAAATTCTATTATTCCTAAAGTTCTATTTAACAATATTCCTAAAGTTCTATTTCACAATTAGAAAGAAAAAGCATCAGGAAGATTTACAATTAGCGCCACAAAAATTGCTGTGATTGATCAGAAGTATCCCTATGTAGCTCTAATTTTGATTATAATTTGAGTATTATTTCTCAAATTAATTTTACAATAAAATATTAGATAAAAGGAGAAGATTTATTTTTTATTCACCAAAAGATACGACGATTATTTGTGTATTTTGCATTGCATAAACATCATGTTAGAGCAGTTATGATGAATTAGAAATTCAAATTCGCCGCATTCAAATGACGAAAATAAGACAATTCACATTTTTCAGAGATCTATGAATAATTTCAGCTATAATTTGTTGTGCAGCTTATGTTCTCATTAATATTTAGAATTATGTGTTCAAAAATCACTTAATCAGTCTGATCAAAAAATCTAAATGAAGCTGATCAAAAAATCAAACTCACAAATGTTAAATACCTATCTTTCTGATTCCCGATAAGTTCTGGAGGTATCAAAATAATGACTAGTGCTTAAAATGTTTAATAAATAAAATATGGCCCGGTATTACACTGCATTCATAAGTCAAACCTGGAATAAGCATCAGACGTTCAGGATAGATATTATTTAGTTATGAATTATTCATTACGCCTTAAGAACAATGCCATTAAATTATAATATATATCTTATCGTTAATCGTAAAGATTATGCTCGAACAATTATCGAAATAATTATGTATTTCTGTCTATGCTGGGCGAAAATGACAAATTTTCTTCTCTATTTCGTTACGCTTTGATTAAGTAATTGAAAATAACCGACAATAAATTCGTCAGGGATAGTCCAGACATTTTTTATATTATTAAATAAATAATTTTCCAGCAATCGGGAACTGCAAAGAGTTTCAATTAATTTTTTCCACGCACTGTCTAGCTAATTTGTTCACGGAAGCGGAATACAAAGGAGCTGAATCTTCCTGGCTTCGCGTCTTATTTTGGAAATTCATCAATAATATAATTCAATTCTATCAAGCTCAATACATAAGGGTGAAAATTACTGGCTGACAGATTTTTTTAAACGATTTCTCTAGCCATATTTCTGAAATTTTAATTTTATTTTGCTTGGTTTTATTTACTCACAAGTTAATGAGGAAAATTATTACTAAATATTTCATTAGGGTTTCCGGCTTTTAATATCGGTAGCAAAAATAAAAAATGTACAAAACAAATTAAAAAATGGTCAAATTATTTGACAGAAGTATATCAATCACGAATAAATGTGGTAAAAAATATACAATATTGCTAGAAATCAAATAACGTTGAGGACCATCTTATAACTTAGGTTAAAAATTGCCATAAACATCGTTACGAAAATATTTTTCGAGGTGAAATTTTGAATATATACCATATGAAAAAATTTTTATAGCTCAAATCAAAATTGAAAAATAGAAAAGCATTGTTCAACATTTGGCCAAATGAGTGTTTGGTTTATAGCAGCAGCTGTGCATTTGAGCAGCTGTAGATTAGCATAATGCTGCGCTGCCGCCGTCAAACTTTGCCAGAACTTTTATGGAACTTTCGTCGCTGCGGCAATACCAGAAGTTATGGCTCCTTTTATCATTTAAAATGATCCTCGGGGTATAATATGTTTTTCAGGGAAGAAAAATTAAAGAAATGGTTTTTAGGAAAGAAAACGCAGCTGTTTTGGACTAAGACAAAATTTTGGAAGACAAAAAAAATGTCAGCGATGGACCTGCTTTGAGAAAGTTTAATAAAAGCAATCGATCATGAATAAATTTAGGCATAAGGTGAATAGAAAGGTCAATTTGGAAATTTGAATTCCATAAAATTATTTATGGATCCATTCTGTGAGAACTCCGTTAAATTTGAAAATACGGAACGAAAAAATATTGTGCATATACACGACATATACGCGACATTCATGACAGAACATGCATGTTAACTTGATAAAACCTTTTATAAATGCGATTTTACCGTCACAATTCAATGCGATTTCAACGTTGACATAACATCGAATTGGATGGCGTTGAAAAAATAACGTTATTCACTTTACATTCTGGACTAATATTCAACGTTATTTCAACGTCGCGAAGTACGTTGTTTCAACGTTGATTCAACCTGACATTGCCTGCTGGTAACACAGTTATTAAGTGCACTGAATTATGCAGGGAAACGGTCAATAAAAGCTATATTCTGCAAACGTTCGTATAAATGCGTTTTATAGCTTTTTAATCTTATTTGAAGCTCGTTTGACTCAAAGTGAATGTAGCTTTTAACTCGTTTAGTAGCAATTCTGCGCTCTGTTACGGGAGTCCTTGACAGATCCAGTAAAAGGTAAGTAATTTTGAAGCGTTTTTGTACATATATTTGCCGTTTTTTATATAAATTCTGGGTAAAAATAAAATTTGACACATCCTTACATG